ACTGGTGACAACGAATTTGCACTTTGATTCGTAATCGAGGATAGATGTAGATGTCTATGGGCCACAGCAGCCACTTACCATCAGGTGGACTGTGTGCTCGTTTGTCACCCTATCCTATAAAAAAAAGATATGGCATTGTACGGAGTTTTACATATTATATTATGTAGAATGTCGCAAGGAACCGCTCAGGGGTCGCACCGGCGTGCCATCGCTACGCACCGGTCGCCTCGTTTATTATCCTATTGAGCTAACCTTTACTGCTTTACTCCCACAGGAACCTTCTATTTCGAGGAATAATCGAATGTTTTTGGAATTTATTTAAGTTTACTTACTGTTCCATATACCTGTATAGCGCACGGTATGAAAAAAAAATTGGTACGTAAACCTTCGTTAATGCGAACGCGGTTAACACGAATTTTGGTTTAAGGCGAACAAAAATTTGCTCTAGACAATAGTTCCATAAGCTTCAATGTAAATGTTCGGTTAAGACGAACCCTCGTTAATCCGAACTTCGAACAACTTTTTCGTCCCTTCACGGTTAATTATCAGATAATACGAACTATAAAAATTCCCAAATCATGTATTTTGTATACCTATTTTTGTCCTTTTTCGGTCAATACAAATACCGGTAAACAATGTCTGAAGAGATTATAAAAGTCATTAACTCGAGTTTCTGAAAATAGATAAAGGATTAGGATATCAAACATTCACTCGAGTACCTAAAAATAGAAACAATACCTCAAATTTTCTTTCCGTCTTACAAAAGCTATTGAAAAGGTTGTAAACTTTTGAAAACTAATTAACCAAAGCAAAGGCTTCTTAACAATTTGGCTTTGTTAAGAAGTGTAGATATAAACTGATGTCTGATGAACACTCTTCAGTTCTTCAAGATGTCTAAGCGGAAGCAGACCTCTCTTGACGTGCAAACTAAGTACGAAATTTTGACTGAAGTTGATCGCGGTGTCTTGTCTAAAACTGCCGTAGCCGAGAAGTTCCAAATTCCAAAATCTACTTTGTCTACCATTCTGAAAAATAGAGAAAAGATAGAGGAAGCTATCGCTTCTGGAATTACCAACAGTCGTTCGAAACGTTTACGTACAGCTATCCACGTAGACATAGAATCGCGATTATTGGCATGGTTCAATCGTATGCGGTCAGAAAAGATACCATTGAGCGGACCTCTTGTGAAAGAAAAGGCACTCAAAATTGCTGAATATTTGGGAATCAGTGACTTTAAATGTTCGAATGGATGGTTATGGAGATTTCAACGGCGGCACCGAATTTCTTCACAAAAAATTTCTGGTGAGGGAAACAAAGTGAATGAAGAAATGGACCTGAATGACAAGACCCGAGATCCAGAAGTAGCTCTGATTCCATATCAACACGAATTCAGTGATGAAAGCGATATCGAAGAAGTCATCCCACCAACGTCGAAGGAGGTCAGAGTTGCACTCGATATTTTTCTTCGCTATGCAGCGACGAACAACGTTTCAGACGCATTTTCAGATGGGCTGGAAACGATCAACTTCGAATGTGCACGCAAACTCCGAGCAACTTATCGCCAAAACAATATCGAAATGTATTTTATTAACAAATAAAAACAAACAGTCAAAATCGGACAATATTAATAATAATAATGTTAAGTTAAAAAATTTATAATAAAAAATTATTGTAAACATCAAATAATAATATCAAAGTTAGTTATTAATAAAAATGTTTCAATGATGAATCAATATTGAGTTTAGAAACACGAATTCATTTTTTGCATTGTTCGGATTACACGAACTCCCCTGTAACACGAACTATTTGTCTGATTTTTTCGTGTTCGTGTTAACGAGGGTTTAATGTAGTAAAAAGAGTGAAGCCGTTATAGTTTTCCTTTGTGCAACATACTCGCGCATCTCATAGCGCGAAATGGATAATGTCATATAAATAATAATAATATATATATATATATATATATATATATATATATATATATATATATATATATATATATATATATATGTGTGTGTGTGATGTATGTATCTATACAATATATTTTATCACATCAATACAAATAAATATATGAGTTCATTTGCTTTATTTACCTATTGTATATATTTTATGACAATCGTTTTTTAGGAGTAACAATTTTTTTCTATTTTGAAGGAAGTATTTAATTTTTTAGGTGTTATATAAAAATAATTTATGTAAATAGTCATATTATAGTTATATTTTTATAAAATTATTGATCGTTTTCATCTTAAAAAGCGAATAGGAAAAATATTTATGCCTTTATTTATTTTTCGCAAACTGAAGCTGTAATTGGATTTCAGTTCAATTACAGGAGGAGGCCGGCAGGCTCCGGAAATAAAGCCCGATAATCTACTTCGACGGCGCTCACAAACAGACAAATTGCTATATCGCAGACAAGTCGTAAATAAGGTTTCTTGTGTACTATATATTTGCATACTAAACATTCGTTTATTTATAAATTCAGTTACGATTTGGTTTTATTTGTATATGACTGAGTTTTTACCTAATATTGTGATGACAGGACAACTTCTCACTCCTTATTATGTTAAAAAAGTTTGCGATAAGTAAATTAGCTTTTTTATATAGGAGAGGGGGCAAACGAGCTTACGGCTTACCTATCGTTGCAGTTGCTCGTTTATCATTGCAGTTTTCTGCGTCCTTAATTTATTTTAAACTGACGTGGCAAACGAACTTTAAACTGATGGACACCTCATGGACAGTCGATGGACACCCGTCAACTTCAAACAAAGAAGGTTACGGATCCGTTGTGACCTCTGAGCACCAGGATGGAATACCTCATAGCCTGTAATTATACTAGTTGTTCGGACCAATGCAAACGGAGCTCTTTAGTGTCAGATAGTGGTACGAGGTTTGTACATACCCAGGCGAACACCTAGAAAGTAGTCTCACCTAATAAAACTTAATGGCTAAATAAAAAAAAAATGGGGGAGAACCCCACGATATCTTGAATTTTGCTATATCAAAATTTTGTGACAAAGAAAAAAACTATATCGTTATGTAGCTCGGTAGTTTGAGACAGCCTAGTACTGCAGCTATAAATGTTTAACAAAAATAAACACAGTTCCTATAAAGGAACCTCATAGTTGATGGTAGAATCTATAAACCAATAAAGAAATACCTTTTTATAGAATAGGGATGACAAACGAGCAGGTGATGGTAAGTGTATGCTGCGGCCCATTAGACATCAACATTTTTTTTATGGGAAAAGGCTGACAAGCGAGCACACAGTCCACCTGATGGTAAGTGGTTTCTGTGGCCCATAGACGTCTACATCTATCCTCGTTTGCGATTCAAAATGAAGATGCGTTGTCAACCTTGAGGACTAAGAGGGAATGCCTCTTTTCCAGTAAAAAGGGTCTCCGGTTCTCTACACTCACAATACGAAACACAGCAGCATTAAGCTGCTATTTAACGCTGGTATTCTGTGAGAGCGTGGTCCTTCCCCGGTCGAGCCGACCCATTCGTGCTACAACTATACAATTAATATAGCTACAGCATGGCTCTACCACGTAAATATAACATTTATCCTCGATTAAGAATCAAAATGCAGACGCGCTGCCACCCCTGAGGATATGGATTAAAATAAAAGTAAAAAAATTATACGCGCACGCACAGGTGAGTCGAGAGCGGTGGTGCAGAGGGGCCATGACGGCATTAGAGAGTGTCATGTCGTTTGTCGTCAGGGCACGGAATACGAGTCGGCTTTACTGCCAAGTCGCGCCAGTAAATGTTTCACATGAAAAAAAATTGTGTATTTATTTTGTATGAGCCCTTGTCACGCTCAACGCAACGCTCTCGTGTCTATGAACTAGCCAAACCCATTTTATAACATAGGTTTACGTTAAATTTTTGTTTCGAATTCCGTTTAAATATTATGATTTTATTTTAGGGTGTTGTTATTAAATATCTCAAGTTGTTTCATTATCATAAGTCATTCCCAACAAAAACAAAACGGTCGTCCCCTGGGTGCCGTAACGAAAAGGTTTCTGAAACTTGGACGTTTTTGGGTAAATTATTTGCCTTTAAGCGTTAAAATACGTAAAATTATCATATAAAACACTTTAAACCTATATTTGCATAAAAGACCCACTTTTATGATGCATTTGTATGAGGCGACGCCTATTTGTTTTGCATGAGGATTATCAAAACATTCAATATTATTAAAACTAGCAAAACGCCCAGGCTGCGCACGGGTGATTTCTGCCTACCGGGTCCAATTGTAAATATAAACCATTCTCGAATTAACATAATCACACACACACAATTTCATCAAAACCGTTTCAGCCACTTAAGAGGGGTTCAGTCACACACGGACAGAAGAATTATTTTATATATACATGAAGTTTATTTATTTACTTCGATTACAAATTTAAAAAAGTTGAATGTCTCTGAATTTCAACTGCGGTCTAAAGGTATGATAGTGTTAGGTTTTAAAAGCTCTTAAAAGTACGGAACGTGAACACCTTTTAGGACTTGATAGAATTTGTTCTAAGTTTAAATTTCAATTCATCTATTTCTCTAAAGTGCTTGTTTGCAACACTTTGAGGATACGCGTGTATCATCTCTAAGTGAATATCAATATAATAAAGACTAACTTAACGCTAAGTGAATTTTACATTTCGTTAGTCAACTATAGAATAGCCAGAAAAGATCTCTACTGCCATATAGCAGTCTACGCTGGATGTAGTTTTTTATAAAACTGTTATTACAAACGTACTTATAGTTCACCTGGTAGAACGTGGCTCCTCTAGAGTCTATGCATTGTTTCACAGTACGCAAGCAAACCGGGTTCGATCTCCGCCGGCACCAATGAAATAAAAACAAATTCGAAGACATGTTAAGTACGCCAACGCGCATTGGGGCTGCGCGGCGGTCACTTCCTTGCCCTAAAACCCTCTCAAAATGTTATTCAGGACATTATTTTTAACAAAACCTTTTAATGAATCTTTATTTATTTTCAGCAAGCGGTGGAAGAACCTTCGCCGCACCCCAGTCAGAGGAACTCCAGCACGTAGCCACGGAGGCCGAGGTTGAGTTGCAACGACACTCCGAGCGGCAAGCCAGAGCTATGTACTTCACTAAATCGGTTCAGATCGTCCCGACGAGGCCCACCGTAGCGAGCACTACAGAGAAAACCCTAAGCAAAAACTCCACCGGAGTCACACAGAAAAACGTAACGCTCAATATAACGACTGAAGTCGCAGCAGTCCTGTGGACGCCAGTCAACTCGTCCGAGATCAGCAACACGTCTATTAGACTACAAAGCAACACCACGAACAATGTTACGGAGTTATATGCTTATAAAAATTTGACAGGCGTGCAGAATACGACATTTCCGTCGAAAAAACGTAATTTGACGAGACCAGATTACGTGAAGGACGACACAAGCGTTGAAGGAATTTCAGAGAGCAGGATCGTCACAGAGAAACCCCTGTCTCTGGAGACGACGTTATTACAAACCAGAATCCCACCTATCATAGAATCTTCTAGGAGGGTGATAGACCCAGGCAGTAACAGAATGGACACGGGAGCTATCGCGGGCATATCTTTCGCTGCGGTAGTGTTGGCCGCTCTAGCTGGAAGCACGGCCTTTGTTCTGTACCGAAGGAGGTATCTAAATAAGCCGCAGACATTGAATGACAAGTGTTCGAATCCCGATTCGAGCGGATACCTTGATGATAGCACCATAAGAGTAAGTATAAATCTTTAATATATTATGACAAAATTACGTTTCTATGAATTTGTATATTTCAACATTACCGTTACAGCCTATTAAAGTCCACTGCTGAACATGGGATTCCCCCGTAGATTGTCTCATGTGGGGAATATTTGCCATAGTTGCTAAGATTGGGAAGCGGGGAGGCAACCGCTGTTTTTTATATACAGTTGTTATTAGGAAGACGCTGCTGCTTATCTCCTGATTTGTTTGCCTCTGTCGGCTCTTACGATATCCACGGGATGATATGGGATAATGGTGATATTTTCTTGCTTGTGGTTATTCTTTATACAGGGTGGGGCAGCATAACTTCCTTATTTGTAATGCGCGCCATTCGGTCAGGTGACATCGTAGTGGAGCGCTAGTGGTCTCGTTCGAGAGGGGGGGCTATAAAGTTTAGTCGAGACAGCTCAGTCGCCATAATGCGTTGGAACAGTGAGGAGCGTGCGTTTGCTGTTGAGGCTTACTTTTCGCGCGGATGTTCTGTGATTGCAACTCAGCGCGCCTTTCGAAATCGCTTTAATTTAGCCCCGTTGGCCCCTGTTCCAGACCGAAAATCAATTGTTATGTGGGTCACTACGTTTAGACAAACTGCAAGTGTGACAAAACGAAGAACTGGAGTCCCTCGGCCCATTAGATCACCTGAGAACATTGAGGCAGTCAGAGCTTCAATGTTGCGATCACCACGGCGTTCTGCGCGCAAACATGCATCTGCCCTTGGACTTTCCAGTCGTTCTGTGCGGAGAATTCTCCATGAAGACTTACATTTCCATCCATACAAGATGGCGACTGTACAGGAACTGTCAAAACGTGACTACGATTCTCGCAGGAACGCATGTGAGATTCTTCTGGATGTCGTTCCTGAGGACGCTATTGTTTTTTTTAGTGATGAAGCACATTTTCACTTGTGTGGATCCGTGAACAAACAAAACATGCGCTACTGGGCTGACACCAATCCTCGAGAATTGCATGAAAGGCCTTTGCATTCACCTAAGGTCACAGTGTGGTGTGCAATTTCCTCAGCTGCAATTATTGGTCCCTGGTTCTTTGAGGAAAATGAAGTCACAGTAACAGTGAATTCGGGCCGGTATGTAAACATGTTACAGGAATTCTTTTTACCCCGGCTGAATGCGTTGGACTTGGGAGACATTTGGTTCCAACAAGACGGTGCAACGGCACACACTGCAAGAGCATCGATGGCTGTTTTGAGAGAACACTTCCCAGAACGCCTTATCTCAATCAGGGGCGATTTGCAGTGGCCGGCCCGATCTCCCGATGTGTCCCCTTGTGACTTTTTTCTATGGGGTTTTTTGAAATCCCGTGTTTATGTGAACCGTCCAAGGACCCTACAAGATTTAAAGAACAACATCCAGGAAGAAATTGCCAACATAACGCCTGCTCTGCTTCAAAGAGTTATGACAAACACCAGAAATCGGTATACTCAATGTATAGAGAATAAGGGACGTCATCTACCTGATTTGATCTTCAAAACTAAATAAAACAAAACTTTAAGTATGTACTTACATTGTAAAAACCAAATAAAATTTTTCCGATTCATACAATGTGTTTTATTAGGTTTTAAAAAAAGGAAGTTATGCTGCCCCACCCTGTAGTATAGGGTGACAAACGAGCACACACTTCACCTGATCGTAAGTGGATGCTGTGGCCCAGCACACAGCACAGTGGTGGTGGCGTAAAATAATCTGGCACCCCATTTCGTCCTGTGGGTGTTGTAAAAGGCGACCATGTGAAATGCCAGAAGTCTTTATGGCTTCTGATAGATGATGATATAGCCATCGCGTTTTTTGTTTATAGAATATGGGTGACAAACGAGAATCCTGTGAACCATAGATATCTAAATGTATACTCCATTAAGAATCAAGACGCGTTGTCACCCCTAAAAAACTAAGATGGAATGCCTAGTTTCCATTAAAAAGGATCGCCGCACCGGTTCTCTACACTCATCATACGTAACACAGCAGCATTAAGTGGCTATTCTACGCTGGTATTCTGTGAAAACGTGGTTCTTCCCTGGTCGAACCGACCCACTCGTGCTTCAACCATAACAAATCTGCAGTGCAGCTCTACAACGTAAAAAATTTCAGCATAACTCGTTTAGCATAATTAGTCTCGAGAAGCAACTGCATTTCGTGTCTTAACCGAGGATAGTTTTAGGTGTCTATAATCCACAGCATTCACTTACTATGGGCTGGAATTTTCGTCTCCAACAGCTAAAATCATTATTAGATATCACTAGTTATAGTTTCTTAATACAGTAGCTTTGCTGTTAAAGTACACTTATTTAGAAACTAATTATCATACAGACGTTCTGCAGGCCTATTTTGATGTCGGGGGTAAGTTTTGAGTACTGTCAGCAGTTATAAACCACGCAGGAGATATTGTACAAAACGAACTTTGCGTTTAAATACTGAGGCATTTACTTATGAGTCATGACTGATTTATGATATTTGTCAGAGGGAGGTAGGCTAGAATGCAGTGACACGGGGATAATTACTACATAACCACTGGGCATCGTTTGCCGATGGTGTGAATCACCCCACAACTACAATATGTTTCGTAAAGATTTTAATATAAAAAAGATTCAACGCACATTCCATTTTTAAAAACTTATTTTTCAAAAGTGATACTTCTTTTTCCTGGCCACAAATAAACAGTAACAAGCTTGTAAGAAAAATAAACATTATAGTCAACCAAATCTAAGAAATACCTTTTGACGTTTCACATGAATTTAAAATAACCTTTTACGTAAATCCAAAGAATTATGAAGTTATCTATATTTCATTACATTGTTTATAGTTTTTTATAACTAATTTAAATTTGATTTTTTTCAAACAAAGCAAGATATTAAAAAATAACCAGTATTAACTTTTTTTACTTGACGTCGTTTCAATGATATGTCGCTATGAATATTACCGTAGTGTTTGGATGATTAAAATTCATTGTTATACGAATAATCGGCAAAATATTCAAATAATCGAATCATTAATTTTTTAATGTATTATTTGTTTAATTTAATTTTTATTTCCAAAATTCCTTAAATTACGATTATGATTCATCATGAATAAAACAAGTTTTTTTTACTTTGTCAAAGTTTAGTGTAGGCAAAAAAACTCATATACATGGCCGTGCTAAAATAACCACTACATAATTTCAATATCCCGCCATTTCGGTACCAGTTACTCGACTCTACAGACTCAGTAATTCATTCTTTGTTCTTGGGGCGATGTATGTATGGATGTAATAAAATCCCAGAAAATATACAAAATTTGACGTAAGTACACAAAGTTTAAAAACTTTATTAAACTAAGTTTGTATAAAAAGGGTTATTTTAATAATAAGGAATTTATGGATGGTAATAACCCCCGGGAAGGGAAGTGTTGTTAATTGTAACACGCATGATTGTAAGCTCTTATTTAAAAAAAAAAAACTAGTGCCGTTGGGTTTTTTGCTGGTTCTTCCCAGGACAGAGATTTTTAGGAACCGGTGGTAAATGAAAAAAGTGACTTACAATAAGTATTATTCATAATCTATATTGAATAAAAAAGTTTCTGTTTCTGTTTCGAGAGCTGTAATGCGTAATTTTGTGACTCGGCTTTAACTTTTTGGACTGTTTCCTCTATAATAACTTTTTGTACGTGGTAGAACCACGCTACATCTATATTATAGTTGTAGCACGAATAGGTCGGCTCAACTGAGGCAGGACCACGCTCTAACAGAACACCAGCGTAAAATAGCAGCGTCATGCTGCTGTATTTCGTAAGATGAGTGTAGAGAACCAGAGACCCTTTTTACTGGAATCGAGGCATTCCATCTTAGTCCTCAGGGGTGACTACGCATTTTCATTCTGATTATTAAATGAGGATAAATATGTATGTCTATGGGCCGTAGCATCCACTTACTATCAAGTGGACTGTGTGCTCGTTTGTCACCCAATGCTATAAAAAAATATTCGTTGAAGCATGTGCCCATGTCAAAAAGCATGATTGGGCAAAAGTGGTAGAAAAAACAAAAAAAAATGATTATTGATGACTTTGAAAGAGACATTAATTTTGACTGCGTTATTGAAAATCAAATAATAATTAATATAAACAACGAAGTCTCTACTAGTTGTAGTGAAAGTAATTGAATTAATAACAAATTGATAAATTTATTTTTAATCTAGTTCCATCTTAAATTTTTATAACTGTGCCTATAGAAATAAGCAGTAACAACAAATACGAAGAAACTGATAAATCTTGTGTTTTAAATTATCCGTTTTTAATTTATTCTGGTATTATTCAAACCAAACTATAAATGATTACAAACTCTAAATAATCAATATCGATTTATTTAAGAATCGAATATTGTATGTTGCCATATTTTGGTTGGCATGCTTGGTGTAATAAGTCTGACAGCTGTCAAAATGTATTTCTTAGATTTGGTTGACTATAAAAATAAGAGCAGTTTTCGAGAACTTTATTAAACCTTGAAGATACAAACAATAATACATTGTTTCTCATTCTGACCAACAACAAAGCACAGCAACTTTGGATCTTATTTCGTTTACCTTTCACTTTTAATGAAGTCGATACTTCTCGTTTCCAAAGTGACATTTAATTAATAAAACTCATCTCAGCTTGTCTCAGCATTGTATTGTTACCGTGTACGACCGACCTCTACGGTCCATTTATCTGTCTTTTGTAATTGAATCTGCCTTCATTATAATGAAAAAACTTCCCCAATAAACTTGATATTTTATGGTTCAAGGTAATGATATTTTTTTATTTTTCATTGCATATTCAGCAAAATGTAAATAAAAAGTGTAAATGTATGATACCATAACTGTTCCGTTTATGTAAAATTTGAGTGTCCGTCACTGGAGGTTTATCTCTGAGAGCGTGTGGTAATCTAAATCAAACACGCGAGAACTCAACTAAGGGGCTTAAGTTTGTTGATACGGCTCCAATGTGTGTCTGGGTTTGCATGTGTGGGACCACCTACTTTACCCATCTATTTCTGCCGCCTATCAGCAGAGCACTCACCGACCCACTGTTGTATTATATATGAGATCAATTATTTTTTACAGGCTGCGAGGCAGTCCGTCCTAAATCGCAGGGAGTGGCAACAAATCTGCGGTTTTCTATTTTTGACTTTTATTACAGGTGTTTATGGGCATAACTAGCCACTCAAGATAAGGTGGACCGATAATTCGGATTTCACTCTAATATTTAAAAAAGCTCTATAGAATGTCATTCATTACTTAAACTATTGTCCTACAGACCAGAGGTCAGCGCGGCGACCAGTATCAACAGGACAGGATTATAGTGCATCTGTATAATAGGTGCACCCCTAATCTTTGACGGTTCCGTGGCGCGGTGGCTAAGCAAGGAGTGGTTGCGCTGGAGGCCGCGGGTTTGAATCCCGCACGGAACAAGTATTTGTATGGCCTACAAATAATTGTTCCCAGTCTGGATGTTTGTCCTTGTGAAATTTAAACTGCCTCCACGATACAGGAGAAAATCCTAGTGCGGGGGTAACTTTTTTTTAAAAAAATCTCTCCAATCCGACACGACCAGAGAGAGATCAGTCGCAGGATCGACGATTTTACGTGTTTTCCGAAGCACGGGGGTGAATTACCGTAAACTTCCGGACTGCTACTGAGAATTTCTTGACAGGAAATCTTAATAACTGCTTTTGGTCCGACCTCGAATTCAAACCCGGGACCACATGGTCATCAGTTGTTTACGACCACTAGACCCACGCGGCAGTCACTTATCTCCAGAAATATTGAGAAAGTAAGAGGTTGTTTATTTTCACAAGTGCGTCGTGTAAAAACTAATGAAGCCATTAAGGCTTTCATAATTACGCTTTACAAGTGTATCGAATTTTATTCATAAGTTTTACGAGGAGAGATTGCGCTTCAGAAGACTTTTTATGAGCTAGACTTGACCAGCTAACTGCCTTGTGTGAGATTGATTACTTTGCAACGTCCAGTGTAATAAATGAAACGGCTCTCGCGCTCTTGGCAAGCGTGGACGTCTATGTACATAGAAACTGACTGCGATACATTTTGTAATATATTTTAAGAAAAAAAATCTAGCAATGAATTGCGTTAAAATGAATTTGATGGTAAAAATAGATTTGAATTAAACTAGATTTTTTTCTTTGATTCATCGTACAAAGTACGTTGGAATCCCCGCAATTATCAAGTATTTTTGGATTGTTTTTTTTTTTTAGGTAAAATGTAAACGCTTGAAGATGCATGAACCGATTTGTAAAATTCTTTTTTGTTTCACAGGGTAATTTTATCGAAATCGGTCGATCGATTTTAATAAAATCAAAATTTTTTGTTGCCACAGCATCCACTTACCATCAGGTGGACTGTGTGCTCGTTAGTCACACAATGCTATAAAAAAATTTGCAAGTGGCCTGAGCTTAAAGGTTCGTTGGGATTTCCTCTTCAGAAAGAAATTTCCCAATCAAATCAAAATAACCTCGGCGTGCACTGCGTTGATAGTCAACTAGACTAGGAAGAACTATTAAATCTGTAGCTCAATGCGTGCCAATTTAGATGTATTGCGTAAAGAACCACAATATTTTCAGAAACCAATGAAGAGACTGTGGTCATATCACGCTTTCCAATTATTCCAAACAACCCGCCGTTTAATTTTCAACGATTACAATTCCCATTAAAAATAGTATTTTCAGTGACAACAAAAACGAGATTGTCTTAGGGAGTACGGTATGTTTTCCCCACGGTCAGCTCTATAGTATTTCTAGGACTTAAAATCTACACGTTATCGCTGAATGATATCATTTTTAAATCAAATCATTGAATGTAGTCTAAATAAGTGAATTGTATTAGAGCGCTAAAACATAATAAATAAATAAAATTTAGTAGAAATAAATTCGGTAATGAAAAATTTGTCGGCTTTAAACGCGAGCGGACCCGCGGGTAAAAGTTATTTCATTAATTGCTACCGGATAAACAACATCTGTATACACCGATTTCACTATAATATATAAATTGCTTGGAGTAAATTAAACGTGGTGTGTTTCGATTGAAAGTGAAAATTAGCCCGTAGAAGGGATAACATGACGGGAACTTGGTTATTATTTTTCTCTTTAAAGTAATTACTTGCTTATACTCGTAGTATAACTGGCGACCGCGGGGCATAGGCAATTGACGCGAATCCATGAATCGATTGTAGCCGTAGGTTTTTTTATGGAATTGGGTGACAAACTAGCAAACAGTCCACCTGATGGTAAGTGGTTGCTGCGGCCCATAGAGTATTTTTTATTAAATATACAGGTTGGATTTAAAATCCTTTGGCAGGAATTTGGGGGAGTAAGGTGTTTTATTTGGTAGAGGTTTGGTCCCCGATTATAATAATATCACTCACATCAAAAGGTAATTCGCCGTTATCGAAAAAATAAATAAAATCTATTATAACCTAAAATGCGTAAAACATGGGAAAACATATACAATATTACTGTGAAAGCTGGATAGCATACATAATTTTATGTGTGTGACAAGGACGTAAGACTAGCGTCACATTATTCTACTGTCTATACTCTCTGTCAAGTCTCAAATCGCATGACATACAAAAAAGAGAAAGAAAATGTGCGCGCGCACTGCTCTCTCTTGCATATATCCCTCAACTCCCGTTCGCTTCACCCGATCACACGTTTCGTAACGCTTTTGTCACGCGTTCGCCACCTTACTCCCCAAGTCAAGCATGCGTAAAGAAGTTTTACTTCAAAAAAATTAATGTGTAAAAAATAAAAGAAAACTGAGGTCTTGTTCTGTGTACCTACATACGCAAGAAACTGAAGACCTTTATTTTAAACGCAATATTTCTATGATAAAAACACTGTGTGACAATCTGCGTTACAAATAAGTTCACCTTCGTACCAACAAGTGACATCTGGTGAGCGCATTTCGAGCCCTCATCGACGATCGCAGTATCAGACGTTTCACACGTTTGACACCGCTGCCCATTACCGTCCTGAGTATTTTACGTCTGACGTAAACCAAATGGCTATACCGCCGTTCGGTAGCCATAAGATCTTTATAGCGTATCCCATCGTCGTCCCTTATAACACCCGCGGGACAAAATGAAGGCGAGTACCAACTACCAACGTGTAGACTCCAAATTTGTCTAGCGGTCGCTTAGCCTGCCGAGTGCAGGTGAGCGCCAACGTGTATACGGTTCGTTTGGTGTGTCTTGCCGCCACACGGGATTGCTCGCCACGACTCGTCTCACTTCGGAACAGTGTCGGTTTTTCTGCACAGATCAAAGGCACTCATTTGCACTCGGCAAGTCGTGTAGTATGTTCACTCATTCAAACTTGGCCAACACGTAGACTGTATCACTCGCCTTGTATCCATTTACCTACGCTCGCATTGGTTGAGGCTTGTCCAACATGTATTGCCGGCTTAACATACTGACATGGTGGGTTGGTGGAAACAGTTCAGAATAAAGAATGCTTGATTTTGTAAGATATCCAATTTTTATAGACCAAGGGTACAGTCCCAAAAAAGTATACATACAGACATCAAGGTCATAAAAAAACGTGATTTAACGTAACTCATGCTGAGTGATGACTTTTTTGGCATGACAATTCACGTATTTTAAGTTATAAATATTTGTATATTGAAGTGAACGACAATTCTTTGTGCCAAAATAATGTATTTTTCTTTCTTTCTTTATCAAAGATTACTCAAATATATGCGATGGGCACAGGTAGATTGGAATAAGTGTCTCTGTGTTTGGGCATGCACTGTAACACTACCATATATTTCATCACCATCATTATCATCAGCTCGTCAAAGTTTACTACTGGAGATGGACCTTTTCCCGTGTAGTAATCATAATATAAGTATATTTAGGTGCAGTTAGTAACTTTAAAGAGTATTCTGGAAGTATCATCCCGTGGGAATATTCTGAACTGCCCACTGCGGAGTGTGCCCAAAATGCTTACTATAATTGAAGTCCGGAAATTTCTATATCAAAATATTTGTGCATTTCAGGACAACTCCGAGGAGATGTACAGCTTGGACAACGACTCCTTCCTAAATTCCTTGGAGGCTATGACTATCCAAAACTACTGGACTGACACCGTGAAGCACACCAAGCTATAATGAAGCAAGCAGGCTAGATGACCTAAGTCTGTCCCAATCTCATTTTCCACGAATATAAACAATGTAAATGTAAAAATACACAATAGTACTGATTATGCTTGCATATTTATTTAGCCTATAATATATTGTTGTATAAATCAGTAATATTTATAAAAAAAAATATTATTTTTAAATGTTTGCATTGTGGTTAAAGATTGTTTATATTCGTGGGAAAAAAATACGTTAGAAGAGATAGTCTCTTCGTCGCATCGTAATTTAGTGAACACTTAAATTTGATCTTAAAAATTAACTTCATTACATATTTGATGATTATTTCGTGGTTCTGTGTTTAGCGTGCTTGTCTTTAGAATACCGTTTTGTGTAATTATCAGCTGATAAAAATATTCGGGAGACCAATAAGGCATTATTTTCAGTCATTAAACACGTCTGTAAATGTGGCGCTACCACTTTTTCAGATGACGCTATTTTTTCAGTGAAGATATTCTTAGTGGCTTACCAACTTATGCTTGATTCAACGTAATCCATAGCTGAATATATTTAGCAAAACTAATGTAAGACTTATTGCCCTGCTGAATATCGCCCTTAAATTGTTACAAATCACGATCCTCACTAATTAACATTCATTGGCTCCCTTCATGGGGAATGCATGAGGAATATGGGGTTTGATAAAAAGAACATGTTTTAGCTATCATTAGATGTCTTTGTAGCAATATTATTAAAAAAATCATTTGAGGTGGTATTTTTTAAAAACTTTATACATATTTTCAAGTAATCATGCAAACTGGCTACGATGTAAATTGTAATCATTTATTTGTATGTTAGTCTTGCCAAAGATTGGCAAAAAAGTCTTCTTTTAGTCACCTTCTCTCCCTTTTGTAATAAAAATAAACAAATGTTTGCTTATGCACACAGCTAAACAAAATGTGTTTTCATTTTCATAGACATAATATTATTAGCGTATTATGTTTTGTAATGAAACACATTTAGAGTGGAAACTTGGTAGCACCGGATTTCCAATTTATTCGATTCATTAAGATTTAGGAGTTAGATTTAATAATTAATTTAATAATATAGGACGGACAAGATTTCAGGACTGAAAATGTAAAGACGTCAATTTATTACGTCGTAATGCCTATGTAGTGCTGCAGACGTTTTCGTATATGAAAAACGAGACGCTCACAATGCACATATTCAAAAACCAATTTTTCTTTTATTTACATTGTCTTTGACTAGGTTTCAAACTTAAAACCCAAATCACGGCGGGCAGGCACGCTGAACACTGAGACATATAATAGTCTAAACTATCGGTAAGTAAAACAATTATTGACTTATTTTCACAATTAATTGATTACTGTATTTGTAATTGTAATTCTAGTGACATAGTGAAAACAATAATTTGAATATAGATTTTTAACTATTGATGTGGATTTTAGATTGATTGTAATTATTAATTTATATTAGATTCTATGATAAGAATTTGTATATAGGTACTTAACATTGTTGTGATAATTGTTTGTTGTATAATCTGTATTGTTAGTTTGTCTAATTTGCATTTAAGTATTTTCTTGCTTACTCTCTATGATACGACCATTTTTTTTTTTCGAAAAGACGTTTTTAATAAAATATATTTTAGTAAAGTTTATGAACGTGATTGAAATATTTTGTATTTTAAATCATTTGATTGCCATTAAAATAAATGTATTACTTATGCAATTTTTTATGTAACCATATTTCAGACTATAAAAAATAGTAACAGTTTCTAATGATTTGATATTTTTTATTTTGACTGCCTAGTCACTACTTTGTTAAAAAGTAATTGAAGTTCACTATGTATAGAATATATTATATGTTTACTTTTGTGTGTTATGTATTGTTCCAAATTCAGATCTATGATAAGTAATTTAACCATGATATTGTTTTCGTAGTTTGAAGCAAGAATTTGATCTCAGTTCTAATTTTAGTTGTAGACAGGATAATATAATGACATAGGTTTAATTGCACTCTAAAAGCATTTATATATGTTATGAACGTTATGGATTTTATGTTTACTTATTTCCATATTCATAAATAACATTGCCAGTTTGAGCTCCGTCCCTTAACCTTATTTTACAATTGTGTGATTAAATTTGTAATTAATACTGTTGATTTTATTTTTTAATTTAGCTAAGCTATATCTGCGTCAATGAGTTCCAAATTAATTTTCTTTAATTAATATTGATATTTAATAGGACACTCCCCACATGAAATTTGTAGACATTGAATATGTACTACGTACAGACACCGAAATTTATGCGGCAGTGCGTAGCGTGTGGAAGTAGGCCAGAGTACCATTTTATGGCTTAGACTAAGTAAGCTTGAGCCCATGGGCTCTAATGCGTGTTGCAAACAACCTAGTCTCGGCCTCTTTTTTAGTACAAATATATTGCTTCAATGTTTGTAGAAAAAAATATTAGTGCATTACAGTACACTTCATCAGGCTTCAGGTACAGGCCTCCTCTCAGTTCTCTAAAACATTTGTAGCAAAATCCCATTACGCTACCACTTACGCTGTTGCTGACCTGCACAACTTCACATGTCCTCGAAAATTCTTAATACTAACCCCAGCTCCATACTCTCGTCAAGGTTAAGCATGGCATCTCGAACATGAGAATGGGATACTCGTGTCACTTCACCGCGCTCTACTCGTTTACCATCACTTCTCGTGTACCAGAAACACAATATTTTTCATCTTTTTCATTAGACTACCTACTTAATATGCACCAAAATGATCTCAATTCAGCTTTAAGTCTCGTATTGAAGTTGACGTCAGAAGTTTCAGTGAATCCAGAAGTGAGAATCAGATGACGAGCAACAACAAAAAATATATAAAGATAAGACAGTCGTAGACAGACCTCGCTTCGTCTAACCTTGTCGTGTGAATGTAGAGCAAGGGTTACGATATGCAGATTTCTTCGCGATGTTTTTCTTTACCGCTCTCAAAATTGCGAGTGAGTTTTAGTACCGAGGTAGGTCACCGGTTGAGTACTCACCTTAACTTAATAAAATAAAACTAAACAATAATTGTTACTAAATTGTAACGATTTTAACCTACGTTTATCCTCGATTAAGAATCATCCCTGAGGACTAAGATGAACTGCACTGTTTCCAGTAAAAATGGTTTAATATATTATTTTGCAAATGTTTTAATAACTTTAATTTTTCACAAAATTATATTTGATATAAATTTTGAAAAATCTAACCGTTACACTTTTACTTAAGGTTGGATAATTTTTTAAATTTGAAAATAATTCAAACAATTTTGATATTTTTGGAAAACTATTTTCAAAATTTTACATTATTTCAATTTTTTTAGGTTTTATGTAAAGCCCCATACTGATAGTATGAAATGTCTGTTCCATAAAATATGTTTGATAAGGAAATATGAATTACGTTTAAGATGCATTCATATTGTTTTCCTTTTCTTATTAGTTTTTAAAATGCGTATAAAATGTATAACCTAACAAAATTTTCATATCAGATTGTATAAATGTATATTAACTGTTTTCGTAATTCTAATTAGCCTATAAAATCTTTTCAGCGCATTAGTCGCAAAAATAAAAACACTAATTGCAATAGTTTTGATTGTGTCTAAAATTAAATGAACAAAACAGTAACAATTTATAATTACTTTAATAAACATCTAAAAGCAAGTTAAATTTATGTATTTTTTGTGACACAGTCGTAGTTATCACAAATATCGACATTTTAAAAAGAACGAATGTAAACCTTTAAACTACGATGTATTAATAAAACATCATGTTACAAAAATATTTAAGAAACCAATGTAATATTTTAGCAAGAGTATACAACATAATATTAAAGCTATTTTTACTTCCAAATCTTTGTATTTTTTTATTTGAGTTGATGGAATGATTTTTTTAATATAATTAAAACAATACGCAAATGTTAGTGGACCACACCAAAACGAGGGAGTTTAAATAACAGTAAATCTGCAATCCAAACTTGCATATACTTTTACGAAAATCAGGCATTGCAGTGCAGTTTGGGCAAAACCAAAGCAACATTTCTCCCATCCGACTTTTTATATTATTTTTCTGTCATAGGTATAAACGAGCTGACAGCCCAACGGTTAAAAGGCCTCCCACACAGTAGCTCTCTTGTATATAATTACCATACTCTGCTAGTAACTGGCTCTCTATTAGTAATGAGCGACTATAAATAATTCCATTCGATTTCTTACATCATTCTAGTCATTGATATAACGGACTGAAATTAGTAACCACTGTCGTCGACGATTGACAGAAGTTTTTCGTCAACCCATCTGGTGCCAAGCACCTGCAGTGTAGCTGGTCCGATAATCGTGTAAATTAGTATATTATGAAATAAAGTTGGTTAATATAATTTTCAGCCGTTAAAATAAACAGTTATAAAATTAACAGATAATAAATTACATATATTTTGACTGGAATGCCTTACAGCCTCTTCCTCTCCATATTCCATTGCCTCAAACTAGAACATAACAGTGTATACCAAAGAGATACAAAGATAATGAATGCTTGGTAACGCAAACTGAATTTAATGGGTAAAAATATTGCATTCTGTTACACTTTTTCTTAGAAAAACGATTTCCTTAGGAAGATATTATTTGACCTTATAGTGTGGAAAAACAAATTTAATATAAATTACCGATTGTTTGATTGTAATGATACGGATCATTAGTAATAATTGTACATGTACTTTAAAGGTTATGTTTCATATTTTTGTATGAAATCGCACGTAGACAGATAATCCTATAGACACCGCCATAGCGTGGGCGTGTCGTAGAAAGAGACAAAAAAAATACGTCACTATATTTAGGGTTACAAGTGTGAGGAAAAATTTACCCCACAGACAGCTATAAAATTAGAAATTAGTACGTGAAGTAGGCCTGAAAGGGAACACTGCTACTAACGATTATCATTGGTATGTATTGTAGTTGATGGAGAGCTGTGGACTGTATT